CTTTCTGGGTGTTGTTTTCATCCTTAATCATAAGGGGTTCTACCCTTAAATTGCACCCACATGCTATGTATGATACATCCAGAAAAATCCGAGTGAAATTCGATTTTTTCAAAAATAATTTCTTGTGCACCAAAACATTTTTCTGCCCACAATGGTTGCAGAAACTTCCCCGAAAGCCATCTTCACCATTAAAACATCGCGGTGACCTCTGCCAGGATCATCGCATTGATCAAACACAAACAGTCTTCTATTCTAACCTTGTTTTGCCGGGTATAAAATGCAGTTTTGCTTTCGTATACGAATCCCATAAAAAAATAACCCCCAGCGCAACCCCACACAAAAATCAGGGTTACGACATCCGAGGGGTCCAGTTTCTCCCAGGACCTTACCAGTGGTTTTTTCCGTGATCCCTTAAAAACGCTTCCTGTGTGAGTAAGATTTTACTGGAAGCTCTTTGTAAAAAAAATATTACTGGTATTGTGAAAAAAGTGCTTCTTCTTAATGGAAGCCTTCATCGCATGATATTCAGTTGGACCATTATCCTCTATATGCGTAGTCGCTTACAGAGATTTTTGTAAACCCTTGCTTCTTTTGGAACATACCGATTGATTGATCCATCAGTGTCTTCCTTGTTTGACCGCAAATTATGCATGAATGCAAAGGGAATAACCTCACTCCTATTCCTATGTGAGTGATTGACTGACGCATGAACCCTATTAATAATTAAATACGGGGACTGATATGATGAATTTATGGGTAGATAAGGAACGAGCTGGAGCAGGTTCAATACCCTCGAGCCTTCTGTAGAATTACAACCCGTGGGATTAATTATTTACTATTTGAGTACATCTGACTGCGTATACTCGTATGTGAAGTATAAAATAAATATTTTCATATGCCGAAAAGTTTATGTTCGCTGAAAGTTCTTTCACCCGTCAGAAAATGATGTACAGTATGTTGAATTGAGTGGGACGATTATTTCTTTTCAGCTTACAACTATTTATTCAAAGAGAAGTTTCATATTTATTTCAGGGATTTTCATTCGGTTTATCAGTGCTTTCAACTTCATGAAAATTATTTGATACTTTTGCTGACCATTGAGAAGTTCATGCATAATGTTTATTTGTACATTTTTGTTCTCTTCTGTAAGTCAAACTTGAAGGGACCTTTTATTATTCAAAGAATAATAAAATAAAGGCCTCTGAAAATTCGAGTTTTGAAGTTTTGATGAGGACAGTCTTAGATTCAGGGACTATTTTGAACGTTGTCCTTGCAATTTTGAAATAGTTCAATAACGGACAGGAGAAATTTGAAATACTGTGGTTTCACTCTGTACAGCCCATTGGTTTACCATGAAATTGAAACAATCAACAGCTGTTATGGAAAGCAAATATGAGATTATCAAGAGGGATTTTTGAGAAATTTGAGACCATTTTTTGGAATTGACCTCTATGATGCACAAGTACAGTCAACCCCCATCTAATGGACTTGATTTGTGCAAGGGACAAGTCTGTTAGACAAAAAGTCCTTTACACAAATTCAATTACATAAAAATTGAAAATTTCAATTTTCAACACTTATTTTAAACCAAAAGAAGTCTGTTGGGTGGATTTTGTCTGTTGGGCAGGAGGAAAAACTGCTTACAGAGCTGGTCTGTTTGGAAAAAATCCCTTACATATATGGGAGGTCTGTTAGGCGGGGGGCCACTGTATTTGGATGTCTGAAATAAATTGATGGATTTTGTCAATTTCTATAGACAGAGGACCAATGTAAGGGTATATAGGCCTTGAACAGCAGTAGGTCAAATTCCATCCCGCTGCAGTGACATGATATTTTATTATGCTTGTGCATTCTGGTTTAACCAAGCACCAAAATGCAGCTTTGGCTGAGTAGTCGAAGTTGAGAAAAATCGGCGAGAGGGTATTCCATTGTTCCAAAATCGTTTAATGCTAATCCTCTCGCAGGAATGCAGAAAAAGTCCACCCTCTGTTGTATTTTCTGATAAAAAATTTTTGCAGGAATGCTACAAAAAATGTGGAATTTTTCCACACTTTGGCACTTCTGATCAATTTTTTTAAATCTTCTGATCATCATTTGATTTCTCATTTTCTTCTTCCAAGTGTCACACAATTTTGCAAATAAATCGTGGCACTGTTGCCCAAGGGTTGAAAAAGGTCTATTAACATTCCCAAAAGAAAAAAGGGATGCATCTCACTCATTGATGAACAAATTGCAATCCATTGCCTGATAATCCATTGAATCTTATTTTAAAAGCTGATGCAATCTCTGGATGCCAATAGTTTTCAAATCACACAAAGAGTAATAATGTAGGATAATGCTGCTTTGAAAATTTAAATTCGGACCCTCTGCTGGTGTAATTTTCAACGACCCTCGAAAGCTGAGGATGAACTAGGCTGATCTATAGTACAGTATATAAGCCTTGCAAATATTGTCACTCTGGGTTATTTGACCTGGTGAAAAAACAGGGGTGAATTTCCTGAGCTTTGGAGGGGACATCGCGAAGGGAGCTGATCCTTTGCTGTTGATTAGCTGCAACGATAAAACCGGGGTCGATGGTTCCTGGGATTAGACGCAGTTGTGCGCGGAAGTTTTGGCAGAAAGAAGCATGACTTTCCTGCCGACGTGACCCGGACTTGTCAGAAGGACTTCGGGCTTTGTTCCGAACTTTACAAGTTGTGCTGACATTCATATACCTCTCAAAGCATATATTTCTTGAAGAACACTTAGGAAAAGCTCCAGTAAAGTAATTTAGTGGAAGTTCGGAATTTCTATTTAAAAAGTCCCTAAAATTAAGGAGTACTCGACTTTCAACAGAACTAACTTCAGTACTCGGCAAAGCGCCCTTTTTTTTCCGAAATTTTGAAATATGTCTCTCCGATAGCGCGTCAAATCCATGAAGATTTACCTTCCCCAGTGTCTAATTGTGTAACCCTTTTCTGAACTCAAGGTTTTATGCAAAGTAGTGCATTTAAGAAAATAAGCGGATGGATATTTCTGACTTATGGAGGGTTGACTTGGCAAAGTGCAGAACTAGAATTTCCTAAAATCAATCCAATCAAATGCTGTTCTGTGAATTAAATATGCCAATATTAACATGAGTTATTTTCAGAAAGGAGAAGTATTCTTTTGGAATTGATCTTCGTGTATCTTCAATAGTTTAATTCAAAATTCTGTTTCTTCATTCCAAATTGTCTTGACCGGATTTCTTGTTCAAAGAGTTCCCGAAATTCTAAAAATTTTCTTTGATATGAGGTCAAATATTGGGATTAAATGTTTCAAATGTCTTCAAAGTTTCTTGAACCTCTTCTGATAATATGACTTACGTGCAAAAGAAAATGATTGCTTATTTTTCAAACTCAATACTGAAATTTCACATCTTTCTAATGCAGTATTCCAATGATTGTGCAGGTGGTGCCCTGGACTACGGATGATAAACTTTGAAGTGGTTAAATTTTGAAGCAACATCAAATGCAAGGTTTTTACGGTTTATTTTATAGTTTTGAGCCTCATTTCTGTGTGGGTTGAACTGCGCTGGGAACAATTTGGATTGCGAGTTGACTTCCCTGCAAATTTGACTGTTGAATTATGGGACAGAAAATGTTTGGGGTGGTCAAATTTCAAGGTACCACCTGTACAAATAAAACTAATTATTCTTAATTAAAATTTTGAAGTTTCAAAAAGATTAGATGAAGAACCTTATTTTAGGACACAAGGATTTTGCAAAAGTATTCCTCTTCTTCGTTTCACCCACTCATAGTGAATCCTTTTCGAGGTCATTTCATTAAATCACCTTCAAGCCTTAAAGATAAATTTTTCAGGGATTTTAATTCCTCATGAGCTGAAAGTTGTCTTGATTGAAGTCATGAGCCGTTTCGCGGGAAAAATTTCCCAAATTTTGAAATATGTCTCTCCTTAGCGCGTCAAATCCATGAAGATTTACCTTCCCCATCAGTGTCTAATTGTGTAACCCTTTTCTGAACTCAAGGTTTTATGCAAAATGGTGCATTTAAGAAAATAAGCGGATGGATATTTCTGACTTATGGAGGGTTGACTTGGCAAAGTGAAGAACTAGAATTTCCTAAAATCAATCCAATCAAATGCTGTTCTGTGAATTAAATATGCCAATATTAACATGAGTTATTTTCAGAAAGGAGAAGTATTCTTTTGGAATTGATCTTCGTTTATCTTCAATAGTTTAATTCAAAATTATGTTTCTTCATTCCAAATTGTCTTGACCGGATTTCTTGTTCAAAGAGTTCCCTAAATTCTGAAATTTTTCTTCGATATGAGGTCAAATTATTGGGATTAAATGTTTCAAATGTCCCCAAAGTTTCTTGAACCTCTTCTGATAATATGACTCACGTGCAAAAGAAAATGATTGCTTATTTTTCAAACTCAATACTGAAATTTCACATCTTTCTAATGCAGTATTCCAATTATTGTGCAGGTGGTGCCCTGGACTATCGATGATAAACTTTGAAGTGGTTAAATTTTGAAGCAACATCAAATGCAAGGTTTTTACGGTTTATTTTATACTTTTGCGCCTCATTTCTGTGTGGGTTGAACTGCTGGGAACAATTTGAATTGCGAGTTGACTTCCCTGCAAATTTGACTGTTGAATTATGGGACAGAAAATGTTTGGGGTGATCAAATTGCAAGGTACCTGGACATGTTTATTTTGATTAATAAGAATTAATTTTAAAACTTCAAAGTTTTTCTAATCTACTTCTTGGAATAAAATCCTGTGTTCCTAAAACGTTTTCATAAGGAGAAGAAGCAAAGTGGGTGAGTACCATAAATGCAATCACAAACAGTTCTGGTTCTTTTGCCATCAACCCTGAGGTATTTCACTTATTTCTGATGTTGAAACTACCATGAAATCAAATCTTCTTGAACTTTCCTCACAAGGCATCTGAAACAGTGCTTGAAATGCATGACTAGCTGATGAATGCACGTTGATTTTAGAATACGTTTTAAATGTATTTCAGTCCATCGGCAGCGTCTATATCATGTAGCCGGAAGGTTTAGCTTGCTAAAATCGAAATTCAAGATACGAAGAACAACCAAAATACCATCAAAGCATGGCAACAGTTGATGTATTTGGAAGGCAAGTGAAAACTCCCCCAGGGGAAGTTGACTTTCAAAAGGTAAGTTCGGCAAGTTTTCGCTTTTAAATGAATGTTCAAACTCAACGTGCTGATTTTAATTTTTTATGAAAAGCATACGTAGATTTTTCCTTTTCCGCGAAAATGATTTTTGAAAAGTTTCTGAAGTATTCTTTAGTAATATTGTAGTGTTTTAAATAAATACTTGATTCTGTGAAGTTAGTCTTACAGTTACGTAGGGTTCAAGACTCGACATCTTTGAAAGAAGCGGAAGTATTTTGATTTGCGCAGGACGTATTGGCATTTGGGAGGCCTGGTTGTGGTGCACCCATTCGAACGAAATCCGGAAGACCTTTGACCTTTTTGAAGCAAGACCCAATCATAAGGTACAATAGCAAAGCAGAAAATTCTTTCTTGGAAAGGTACGAAAGAAAGATTCGTGAAATGCGTCAACCGACCTCCATGACTCCCCCGAGGATTTCAGGTTTGTACGATTCTATTGTGGACCCAAATTATTTTCAACTGACTTCGAAAAAAAATGACGCCTATACGGCCTAACCAAATCACAGAAAATGAATTTCATATGAATAGTTTTCATGAGTTTACATGACCTTGGCTTGTTGGCAGGGAACTCGATTTTTAAAATATTGTGTTATTGCACTTCAAAACAGCATGAACTGTCCTTCCCTGTTTCTGAGGATGTGGAATTTATATAGTCATTCATTTGTCTTACATACGCCTAGGAATGTAAATTATATGTGAGTTTTAATTTTGAATGCATTTGATAGATGTTGAACCCATTCTTTAACATTTAAAACAAGTAATTTATCTGTTCAAATCAGAGAATACTGTACAGTACTAAAGTTGAAAAGAATAACTGAAACTTATTCAGCCAAATTCAAATTCAATTGAGTGAACACAGTTAAAACATTGAGACCCTTACGTCCAATTACTTAAAAAAAAATCAGCAGTACAGAATTTCCACATGACAGAATATTTGTAGCAGTATTTTCTTAATATTTTTACTTGTATGCACAAAATTTACCCATTTTAGCAGTTAACCAATGTTCCTCGTTCAGAAAACCTAATCTTTTTCAGTGGGTCTGTTCTGAAGGGGTCGTTATCCCAGTCGAAATTTCCCAGGGTTAATGCAGGGAATTCAATTGTTTGAACAATACGAAATGAAAATAACGTGAAGTCATAAAAATAAAGAACATGTACAGACAAAAACTAGATAATGAATTAGTTTCAAACCAGAACCCTTATGCAGGAAAGTCAGGATGTTTTTCAAAATTTGGTCCCCATGAGGGCTGCAAATAAGAGAAAATGATTTTTGATACAAGGACAAAGTCATAAAAAAGGCCAATATTTTTTTCAATCATACCAACAATTTTGGTTCAAAGATAACAAAAATGCCTTACTTCTGGGGGCATTTCAGTGACTTTTGCTCAAACTGACATGCCCCTCCTCCAAAAAATTATAAGTTTGCTGCAGGATGGCAAGGTACACTCTGCTGTCCAGGGTTGAAAGATTGGAAGAAACAAGTTGGAACACAGAGGGAATCTTAAGTTTACTCAATGTTTGAATTTGCCTTTTATTCAATTCTGCATTCTCATTCGATGAGTGAATATACTTTTTCTTTACAAATTTAGTTTCCATCTTTTCAGGATTCTTGTATCCATGTTTCATTCTACCCCTGCTTGACTCAAGGATTATTGCTCAAGTCAAGTTCGTTGCTCAAGGCAAAACGGTCACAGATCCCACGTTTATTGCTGGATTATGGGAGTTTAGCTGCATAGTGGTCCGGGCTCAGGATTTCTTCATTCAGTGACTCATTAAATGATATTTATAACTTGCAAAATTAGAAATATTTTTCCGAGAGAACACACAAATGTGTGCTGTGAGAAGAATGTGATCTGAAGAATACCACTTTTGCATATAAAAGTGAACCCTGGGCAGGATCAGTTTGTGAGGAACTTTTCAGCCGGATCCTGTGAAATTTGAAGCGGTTAAAAATGTTTTTATTTCCTTGACGCGAATCAAAGAACTTTCACAAATGGCAATCAGGGGTGTGCTTTCAGGCGCAAGAAGTTGGCGCTAGTGGGGAAGAAATTCCATGTTGTTTTGCACACTGACCAATTGCCTGTGTGCCTTTTTTATTTCCTCTGAAAACCAAAATCTACTCGATATTGATTTAAAAGTACTCTGCTGATCAATCACCAATATAGTGTGTGGCTTCGCAGGATTGAATCTATCTTCAAACTCAAATAACTTTCTCTATGCAGTCAAATTTGACACTATCCTAGGTAAAGGAAAAAGATACAGGAAATGTTCAAGATTGTAAACCTGTACCAGAAATGTTCTCTGGACTACCATACAAAGCACATACACAATGTTTACCCTTCAGGCTAATTAACCCTTGGACAACGCTGCTGGGTCCATTTGCATGGGGCACCAGTGCCAGAATTTTTTTGAAGGCTTCTGCATTTTGATTTGACCAAAGGTTACCAAATTGCAGCTTTGGCTAATGAGTAGCTGAAGTCAGGAAAAATCCAGCAAAAAGAAAGACATTGGTCTGATAATCCCTTGATGCTGATCATTTGGCAGGAATGCAGAAAAATTCCACCCAACAGTACCTTTTCTTGTTATTTCCTGTTGAAAATACTTCTGAAGGAATGCTGGAAAAACTGGGATTTTTCTCAACCATGGCTTATCTAATCATTCAACATTTAGCGAATAAATCCTGGCAAGGCCAGCGAAGGATGAAATCTGGAGTCACAAGACAGTTTAAGTTCAATTTCTGAATGTATTTATGCTTTCGCAGATGCGTCGAATTCCAGAGCAGAGTACATTCCAGCCTACGAGGTTTACGAATCCCGGCCATCGACAACAGCGACGGAAATTGTTCAGTCCACACGAAATCTGGATCTGAACAGGAACACAAATTCAAATAATAATTATGAAGGCTATGAACGCGAAAAATCTCATACTTTGCCCCGAGTGGAACGCAAAAACAGCAACAATAGCAACGGCCCCATTTCACCAGTTTATATCACTCATCGACCTGATTTGAATGAAAAATTGGTTGGTATATTATGATTTTATTTCGAATTTAACGTTTTGCAGGAATTTGTTCATTACTCTTCATTTTGTTGCAATTATTATCATTAGGGTTGGGTCAACAGCTCTTCGCCGTCTGTAGCTGGAATAGCAAACTACAGACAAGCTTTGCAAGAACAATTGAGGGTGTTCGCTGAAAGAAAGCGAAGGGATGATCAAGAATATCGATTTTCGGTGAGTATCTTTCAAATAATGCTTTAAAAATGTTATCCATCAAAAGAAACTACATTCTACTTCATCTTTCGCCTTGACTGGCCAAAAATCGTGCGCTTAAACGTGAGGTAAAATGTATGCGATAAAACTGTGTGATAAAAACGTAATTTCATTAATTCTAAGAGCTATGCCTCTTTTGAACAATAGCAGAAGTAAAATATTGCTTTTAAATGCGAGCTGCAATTTCATAGCCTTGAATTTTACGAAATTCACTGGATGAGTCTGTCTATTCCTTTGGGGCTCGATTTGAAGGCAAAATCTCATGAAAAACTTAGAAGAGAAATCAGGAATCTAAATATTGTGCGCTTCACATGATTAAACGCCATTCACACTCCAATTAATTGCATTTTAAATTGTTTTTTCCTTAGAACTATATTTTGGCCAGAAGGTTTCTTGCACTTCACCTGTAAAATTGGAACCCGGTGAAATGTACGAATCATCTTTCGAAAGACGCTTTCGAATCTTTTCTTTGTTAATTTTTTGTGAAAAAGTGATTCTTTGATTGTGGTTTATTTACAATACAATTTACAAAACATGGCTTCTGTACCATGAAGATATCTTTTATTCAAAACTATTCACTGGCACCTTGAAGGTCAAAGTGATGTTCTCTTCATTCCTTGTGGCCTTTTTCTGTTCGTTCTCTCCTGAAAAATAAATTTCCCAAACTGGTATGTTCGTTTTTATGAAATTGTATAACATTATTCCTCTAGAAATTATCACTGAACTGTAAGTCCTACTTTGGATCTATTTTAATCTCCCAAAACTTGGTATCCTGAAAATACTGTATACTGTACTGGGCTCGAATTTTTTGTCGAGGGGTCTTGAGGGTTACTTGCAATTCTGAAAAGATGAATCGTCATTTTAGAAGCTCTCTTAAGACATTTAAATCGTCACACTTTATACTGTACATATTATTCTATAATAATTATGATATTATGCATTAATCTGATGAAAGTTCCACAATATAGGAGAAAATTGCAGTTCCATTTGAAAAAGTTTTATTGAAATGTTCAGGTATTCTCTCAANAAGTCCTACTTTGGATCTATTTTAATCTCCCAAAACTTGGTATCCTGAAAATACTGTATACTGTACTGGGCTCGAATTTTTTGTCGAGGGGTCTTGAGGGTTACTTGCAATTCTGAAAAGATGAATCTTCATTTTAGAAGCTCTCTTAAGACATTTAAATCGTCACACTTTATACTGTACATTTTATTTTATAAAAATTATGAAATTATGCATTAATCTGATAAAAGTTCCACAATATAGGAGAAAATTGCAGTTCCATTTGAAAAAGTTTTATTGAAATGTTCGGGTATTCTCTCTTAAAATTCCACAGTCTAATGAGGGTGACTGAAACTCACACTCAATCTTACGCATGATCAAGTACTGATCAGCGTTTTAACATCGGACCTGTCCAATTTGACAAATAAACTGTCCACGTTGGCAAAAGCTTGTTGAGATCAAAACTATCATGGAACTATCATATTGTTTCCATGGACACAAACTTTTATAAGTCGCAGTACCCAGTCAACAGCACTATACTTATATATTCAAGCAGGGTATATACGTTTCATATATTCCACGTAATACAATATTCCTATGCTGATCTCGTCTACAACGAGTTTCTCTGTGCAATTTTAAGACGGAAGGGTAACCAAAAGCGCCATCTGTTTCAGGTGGAAATAATAAAACTTTAGGTAGTGTTGAACGTTCACTTAGTTAAGAAATATTAAATCGACTACAAAATGTGAAAGGTGCTTTTAGATCCCGATTTTGATCATGTTCTTTCAACATTTTCGTATACTGTACATTTGCTTATGTGTCAGGTAACTTCTTGCCTATCTTATTTTCAGGCTGGAAACGATCTTGTGTCGCTGCTGTGCCAAAAGAAAGTTGGCAAACCGAAAAGAGATCCAATCACAGGAGACATCATAAACCACCACTTGGGCACGACGGATGTAACGTCGGTCTGGAGGCGACCTCTAGTCGTACCACCGACAGGTGAAGGCTACGAGTTTCTGCGTCAGGACCCGGTGGCGTACAGAAACTTTCTAGCGCAGCAACAAGCAAATCGACTCGCGGAGGAAAAGGTTCAAATGTCACATTTCTTGTCAAGTTTTTGATGCGCTTCGTTCCGAGAGAATTTCGTTTTGCAAACACGTGATTATGAAGTTGATATATTTGTTACTATGTCTTTAATGCAGAGGAGACATCAGCAAGAACAAGAAATCTACAAACAGCATTGCAAAACGTGGAGCAGCTTTTGGGGAAGACCTGGGTACGGGGCCCCGTTACCCAGCAGTACCCATAAGGGTAACCTGTATGCCATGTTGCACCACGGAAAACGCTACAAATCACCCTTGGTTGACGTTCCTGTTCCTCCGAGGAGTGCCCCGAACCCAAAATTGGAACCCTTGGATCCATTGATTGACCCAAGGACACCCCGACAACCCACTGCCTGAGGGTCAAACTTGGATTGGGAGCGACAACAAAAATTGTTACTCTGATGATTGGACATTTGGAGACCCATTTTCAAAGGGCAAAATTCTCGAACACATGAAAGTCTTTGCTGTAGGAGCATTTAGTGGACCCTTGGTTAACTAACTCTTGATTTTTAGGAAAAAGTTTCTCATGTAACAACCCAACATTTCACCAAAAAACTGTTTCTGTTGAAAATCCAAAATTTGAAAATTCAAAATTAGATTTTTAGGCTGAAATTCATGGCACAACTTAAGTGCAAATAATTCTCTGATGCATCACTGATATTTATATGAAAATTCTTCCTCTTTGGCACTCTAATGTGTGTGAACTTGTGTTTTAAAGCTGTTTTCAGCATCATTTCTGGTATATTTACAAGACACTGTATTAATAAACGACAAGACACGAACCCACAAGATCACCGCGTGAACGCTCTTTACGGTTAGACTAGAAATGAACGTCGTAACTTTTTTCTTTAAAGTAAAAGTGGACTGTTCAAAGCTGTAGTGTGTGTTTCTCTGGATGTGAGGAATTCATCTTTGTTTTCATCAGAGCTACTTCCATATAACAGTGTAAAAACATTCTGGGCTTACGTAAGATGCAGTAAAAACCAATTCTGATTACAGTTGGTGATGTTGAATTGTTTAGATTGGAAGTTCAATTGTCCTTTGGGTTCAAAGAATGGAGTAAATTCATCCCCATTTAAGTCTATGGGAAAATCAAATTCAGTTGAAACACTATTTGTTTAACAAGTTTTTGTCTGGAACCAATCAAGTTCATTAACCGAGGGTCCACAGTAAATTAATATATTCAATGCACCGAGCACTTTTTGGGGGACTTTGAGTGAAACAAATTAGCACATTCTTTTTGCAAATGAAGAAAGCGTTGTACAATTTATCACCTGTTCACAACAATAATATCCATACTTCTGTAAAAATTGAGATTGTTTCAGAAAACAAGATCACGAATTTTGAATTATATTCAGGAGTTTTGTTTGTTTCAAATCTAAAATCAGACGAGTGGAATTTCATCCTGAAATTCTTCATCTTTCAGTATTCAGTGGAGAAAATCTGCTCATTGGACAAGAACATCTGATCAAAAGATCAGATTTTTGTGCTTGTGGATCACCTTTCAATCTTTTTGAAGCTCTGTCATGTCAATATGTATATTTTAGGAAGAAATAAAATGCTGGAGGAGTCTCTGGCAAAGTAAACTTCAAGTTTACTTACCCATTTTGTGTAGCCAAGAGATGTCCATTTAAATATTATAGCTGTCTCTTCTTGGGAGGTGAGGACTTTTGGAGAAAAGTTGGATGATCATCAAAAAAACAGTGCTTGGCCTTTAAGGTACCACTTGGGTTGATTTGAAAAAATCGGAATCATTTTTGTTTTTATGTTGCAAGCCAATAAATCGATTGACCAGCAATTATATAGGCGTTGCCTCAATTCCATGATTGCTAAAATGTTTTTGCTGATTTGTTTCGCACAAGGGAGTACCGAAACATTCCCGAGTGATATGGAGACTACGTTAGCCGCTTCTTCCAAAAATTTCGTAAAGGCTTGTTCATTTTTGGGAATCATTCCGTATAAAATCAAGTGGAATGAAGATTCTTTTGAAATCACGAAGTCCTGGTTCAGGATTTGGCCATGTTTGCTGTACATAGGGGGACTGAGTGTACTTCTTAATCAATGCTTTCAAACAGCGGATCCATTGATGGTTTATGTCGTCACTCAAGAAGAAAGCAATGGATCATCCGTCATTTATTTCCTGGTCATCATGTTGTTTGTCCCAATTTTTGCAGGGATAGCTGGTCTGGTCCTCATTTTGCTCAGACACGAACAATTGAAGCAACTGCTGATAAACTTTTCAAAGTTTCAAATCAGCAAGGATCTTGGCAATTACATCAGAAAAGAGGCACGTTTTAGTAACAATTCCCGTTAAAAAAAATTAATCTAGACCAAAAGCCAAGCGTTCTGTCTTCCTGTGAACATTTAAATCTAGTTGGCAAGTAACTCTACCATCCATTTTGAGATGTTCATCATGTTTGTGAATTTACCTTTTTCTGAAAATTTTCAAAGACATGGGCTGCTGAAATTGTATGATGAAAAATCAAAGTTGGCTTTCTCCCAATGCTTCTCACAAATTTAAACCTGCTGAAAGTAGTTATATTAGTGATTTTTCATATTTTTTAACTTTATCTTGAAGCCAACCTTTTTAATTTTTCAAAGACATTCAACAAAAGCTGCTTGATCCTTGGGTTCTTATTTTTATTTTTTGAAAATGCAGATACTTGTAAATACCTGCCATGAAGTATTTCAGACAAGGCTTTTTTGAGCCTGAAAAAACTTCGTGAAACTTTGTTTGTCTGAAAAAGTATTTTGGAAATTTGCTGGTCTGCAGGCCAAGAAAGGTTGGTAATACTGGTTTAGGCTGAGAAATAACTCCTTTCGAGGGTTTTTATTCATCTGATATAGAATATACATTACTGTACTGTATATGCAAAGCATTAATGTTTGAAAACAATTCCTGAGTATATAAAATGTGTGAGACCTTCTTTCCTGAAAAATGGCAATAATAAATGCATTTAATTGGAGTAAACATACGTCATATTTATATAAGCACGTATTTTTTCTTACAGATACTGAAGAGATGGATTTTAGGAACTATTTTTAACACTGCACAGCTGGGTGTAACTTTCGGAGCCCTGAGCTATTTCTCATACACCACGCAATTAAGCCCTTCAACGAAGACAATTTTGAAACTCGGTTTCCAATACACATTTTTCGCACCGGTCATCAGCTGGCATTTTTGCGATTGCGCGCTTTTCGCTGCACTTCTCACAGTCAGTTCCGCCATGGACGACATGAACAAGCAGCTCAAGAAATTGACAACGAGTCCCGGATCATTTGAAAAAATCAGTTCCGAAATTAAAAACCTTCATGTGAGATTTCTCAAGCTAGGGACCATGACGGATGATATCGCAAAATGGATGGCTCCTTACATAATGTTGTCTCTGTCCCTGGCCATGGTAGTTTTGACAGTGGCTTCATTTTTAATTGTGATCACCACTGAAGAAGCTCGAAGCGTGGGAGATCATTTGTTTCAATGGTTATGTGCTTTGCAAATTCAGTGGTTTCTTCAGAGATTGATCATCATCAGCTATTGTGGGAGTAGACCTGCAGCACAGGTAATTTTTTTTGGCTAATTTAACCATTGGACATCAACTGTCAGGTGGTAATGACAAAGACCTTATTGAAATAAGTGTAAACCATTCGCAGCCTTTAGGAGGCCGGATCCTCCTGAAGGGAGTCCCTTAAGCACTCGTTTATTACAGTGCACACACAACGCCCAGAAACAGAACCAAGATCAGAATCCTTAAGATATCTCAATCATACACACAAGTCACACACAAGACAAGTCCTCAGGAAGGAAATCAGCAGATTCGCTAGCAACCGTACATACGCAAGGCAACTTGCAGAGTGACGGTTTCGGAGCCTCACAGAATTCAAGATTCATAATTTGATTGTAATCTTCTCACCCGGTTCCGCCAGGCGGTAACCGGGTGCCATTCAGGACCTTGGTTCCGGTGGCGCGTCGTAACTTTTGTGTATGTGGAGCCCGAGTGAGGATGCTATGCTCGTGTCTCCCCACGCACTCTCTTGACCCCACAAAATCCCCCCCCTTTGGATGCCAATGGCCAACGGCTGGAGGGATCCAAAGGACCCCAAAGTTGGGGTTGCAGAGATGTTGCTGCTCCGCGGGGGCCTGGGAGGGCAGTTGGGATCGGCCAGCGAGGGCGCGCAGCGTCCTCGACTGGCGATGGACAGAGAAAATGGAGGCGCGCGTGCGCAGCGACGCCTGTAACAGAGAGGCGGATTAGTCTGTCATTCAGTTTGGGGAAGTTGCCCAGGGCGGATCTCCCAAAAAGTGCATAGGAAAAAGTCATCTTGAAAGTGTCAAAAGTCAGATGTCAAGTGATTTGTAACTCCCAAATACTCCCACTCCGTGCCCAAATACTTGTCAAAATTCTGCAGTGTCACCCGTTTAAGCCATTCCCGGCGCGGTTGATGTTGGTTGGATCCCCATCGGCATCTCATGAGGTGTTGTCGGAGCTGTCTTCCTGATCAGGAGCTGCGCAGGCGGGGGCCCCCTGGGGAAAAGAAAGACTGTGGGGTTTTGTGTAGGCTTACCCTGAATCGGAGGTGGTTGTCACGGAGGCCTCCTGTTGCTGTCGGGGTCCGTGGGTAACGTCGCTGCCAACCTTCTCCCAAGCGGAGGCAGGTCCTTGTTTGCGGAAAGTTGTTGCGTGGGTACGTTGTTCCCGACCTTCTCCCAAGCGGAGGTAGGCCCTGTGACGTGGAAAGTCGTTGCGTTGGTCCCGTGGGCTTCGACCTTCTCCCAAGCGGAGGTAGGTCCTTGGTGCGCGGAAAGTCGTCGCGTTGGTACCGTTACTTCCGACCTTCTCCCAAGTGGAGGTAGGCCCTATTGCGCGGAAAGTCGTCGCGCCGGTACTGTTGCTCCCGACCTTCTCCCAAGCGGAGGTAGGTCCTGTATGCGGAAAGTCGTCATGTTGTCGTGCGCAGGCGCAGAGTGCTCGTCAACCCATGCAAGTGACAGGTGTCCTGGGTGCTGATGTGGTTGTCCTTCTTCCATTGCAGATCATCAAACACCGCGTAAAACCAACAAAACGTAGCAATCGGGCGAAACCAAAAAAAAGAAGAAAATATATTCGCGATCAAAAGAAAGATGACAAAAGCGATCACCCGATCGTGACGGAAGACAACACAACAAAGGCGCCACAGCAAAGACCCGGACAGGACATCCGAAGATGAGAACAAGACAAAAGGTCAGTGCCGAACAGAATGGATTCGCCGAGGAAGCAAGGTCTTAGCGGAGACCATCCCGCCGCAACAAAACGCCGCGCATCAGAAGAGGACGCCTCAGAGGGCGCCGTATCAGGTACGTGGTATCCCACCCCTCGCATTCTCTGATGCTTAATACTTGCCGATGTGCTCCATCCCAGATTTGGCGGCGGAGGCAGAGCCTGCCGGTGGCGTGGAGGAAGCGGTCGTTGCCGCTGTGGCGGAAGGGGCGCTGCCTGTAGCCATGGATGCTGCTGCTGTGCCGCCAGCCATTCCGGAGGTGCCGGTGGTGGATGTGCGGAGCGCGTCGGCGGCGGCAAACGTTGCCCGTCTCGTCAATCTGCCGGAGGGAGATTTGCAGCAGCTGGTAGCGCTGCTGCCTGTAGCTGCGGCTGCGGAGGGAGCGAGTGTTTGGCGGCGTCAATTGGAGGCGCAGGTCCCTCATGATGTGGCGGCTGCTGAGGCCGCACAGGACCGGCTGAACGCCGTGCAGGCATTGGTAGAAGAGATGA